CGCAAGATGGGACACATTCGCACCCTTCCCCCTTCCAATCCACATCTCTGCCACTGGCTAATATTTCGGAAAACAGCAGAAGAAAATGAAAAGCTCTTCCATGAAACATTAACATAACATATCTCCAAAGCTTTTGTAAAAAAACCATGGAATCCAAGAACCGCAACATTTCTGCGCCGGCAATGATCCCGAATGAAACGACGCTAAACATACTCATTTGGAGGATTTATTACAAAATGTTCAACAAGAACAGGGAATAACTTCTGAAGGCAACATTACAAAAATTTGTACATCGATCAACCAAGAAATTTGGCTAACATAACATCAGATAAAAAAACAAGTGACCTATCATAAACCTATTCGTTTCTAGTCCAGATTTATCTCAGTCTTTCAATTTCGTTTGAAGCTTGTGAAGCCGATTCTGGAGGCTATCTCGCAGCAAAATATTTAGCAGCGACGAAGAATTGTCGGGTTTCTCACCCAGTACAGGTGGAAATGGATTTCCTGAAGATATTTCATCAAAGTTTCCAATATCTTAAGATAACTAGTGAGCCCAGAATCCCTAAAAATGAGGAATTGCGGCATATATGTGACGTACCATCAATTTCCAAAACGGCAATATCATAACGCTTCCATCGTTCTATTCTACCTCGTACGAACTGCTGCAGACGCTGCGTAGGAAGACGATATATTGAAGTAAAAGGTCCTTCGCGGTTAGCAAACCGCGGCACAATCACCTACGAAATGGCTTTGTTAATCCACAATAAAAAAATTCCTTTTCACTTGCTTCGCTCAAACAAATGACAAAAACTAAAACGCCCAAAATTACTTACTTTATGCATCTTTGTGATAAGATCCTCTTCCAGTAACCACCACTCCATCATCTCCGTTGTGTATTCATCGTGTTCACCTCTCTCAACTCCAAGTTGGATCAACTAAGAAAATAACCAATAAAATTCGTTGAACGTTGTACATCTGCACATTTAATTCACCGACTATTTCGAGACTTTCTTCACAACAAAGTAAGCATTATTCAGATCTTTTAAAGTCTCGCTCACTCAATTTTATGTTCCGTGTTGTTTTTGCTATGTTCATGCACGAGAAACGCATCCCAAACAATTTTCTTGTGATACCCCTGCCCGAATGGCTCGATAATATGTGAAACAATCTTTCAAAAATTCAGCAAATTTAACCCTTTCTAGATATGGTCGAGCTTCTACCGCTCTATTCCACTG